CAATCATGTCCAGATAAAATAAGTATATACAAAAGTTACTGATTAATGGAGAATATTTAACACCAAGAAAACAAGTTATTTATTTGTATTTCCTTCTAGTGTCTACCACAGTGTGTATGTGTGGACATTTAGTAGCTGCCTGGGAAACAAATGACTGTCAACTTGTATCGAGATACCTAGGGATACATTGCACATTCTGATCACAACCTTATCCTTTTCAAGATGAAATTTTTCAGTGACATCATTGAGTATATTTCACATTTGGTATAGGGGATCAAACTCAGGACCTTGCACTTGCAAGGCAGGCGGCGGCACCACTAAGCTAAATCCCAGGCTCTGAACTAGCTTTTGATAAGTAAACAATCAGGACAATGAATGCAATGAATGGTAGACTTCAGATCCAAAGACATTTGCATGAGTAATTGATGTCAGAACAAAACAAGAATAACTTTAATGAAATAAATGTTAATTCCTTCCATTTGGCCCCAGGTCAGCTGTAAAGTACAGAAACATGGGAGATCACATTATTTGTACATGAGTATCAGCAGTTAGAGTGAAGAATAAGGATGAAAAATGTGGACAGCGGACAGCGTAACAACAGAGCCTACTGAAAATGGAGGGGTTGTCTCAGAGAGCACTGACTCCTTTGGAGCCTCAGTTGTCCAAGGTTGAAATCAATCCTATGAAGGAATGCTGTGGGAGTTTCATCCATGCATGGGAGCCTAGACTGGGTGATCTAAAAGACCTATTCCCTCCTGGAATATAATAATTCTATTTTTAGTTAAATCTAATTTAGAGATTGCCCATAGGAAAAACCCTGTAGGCAGAACCTGAAAGACTTTTCTCGGTTCTGATTTCACAGGCTACCGCTGTACTTTCATTTTTCTATAAGTTTAAACTAAACTTGACAATCTGCAACTCTGGAGAAGCAAGGAAGAAGAGAGCAGATCCACAGAAGTTAAGACGGGACTGGAGAAACAGGAGAGGAAGTGAGATTGCATATTGGACAGCCCAGAGTTGCACGGTCTTAACTGTAGGAAGGGGAAGTGAAGTCAGCCCCACCAGGGTCGTAGGGCCTTGACAAATCAATTAAGAAGGTATTTTAATTTTAATAACAATATGATGCAATTGGAATATTTCAAAGTGGAAAGGTGACAGTCAATATATGTTGGCTTGGAGAAGGTTGGAATGGCACTTGCTGGCCTTGAGGCTACACTGGATGCTTGTGGTGCTTGCTGTCAAAGTAGCTAAGGGTCCCTTCTGAAGTCGGGGTGCATTGCACCCCGGGGAGTACAAAGAAGGATCACCAAGTGACCTTGGTGTGGTTCCTGGTTTTGCCTCCTTGGGGTTGCCCATGCCTCAGCAAGTTACTCACACTTGAGGGGACTGTGAAAAGGGAAAGAGGTGGGTGTGTAAATCAAGGGCTTCCTAACTGCTAGCTGTTTTTATTTTTATTACCTTGCCTCACACCTACCCAGAAATGCCCTTACCTTTGTTTTAGGATGATGTGCCTTCGAGGAGAATTTCAGAAAGGGAGAGTAGGAAGAAGTTTGAGGTATCTCGCTCAATTTCCTAATTTTTGTCATGAGAAAGTAGAAGAAAAGAAATCCACTAATTTATTCCGGGTTGTACAGCAGCCAACCTGAAACTTCAGTGGTCAGGTTCTTTTACCACCACATAAATACTATACGAATATAGTTTGGTCATGAGCACCTACTTCGGAGTATAGATTTTTCACTTGTTTGGTGACAGCAGATATTTCTTGGGTGGAAACTTAATTTAGAAAAAGATCTGTTTTAAACATTTTGCAGCACATTGCTCAGTTTTCGTAATCCCAGAAACAAAACCGTGGGGTTGGGCGTACAGTTAGATTCTGGACAGATTGCAGCTCGGGTTGCTTTCGGCTGTGGTCTCAAGGGCCTGGCAGCCCCTCTGTGGCGCGCCCCTCCTCCCCTACTGGCCCAACGCATCAGCGAGCCAGGCTGGCGCCGTGACTTCTGCTCCTGGATGCTGTGCGCCTTTCCGCTTCACCGAGGACCCTGTGATCCGATTCAATCAAATTAACAACTGTTTAGCGAGTGCCCGCTCTGCGTTTGGAAGGCACCGGGCAAGAGGCATTAGGGAAATGAAGCAGTGTCACTCTTCTGCAGAGAAGCAGCAGACGCCTAAACTTGATCCCCTTTCCCCTGCGAACGAATTCTCTCCAAGGTTGCCGCCGACCGCGGTCTGGTTACAACCCCCAAAGCTTTCGCACCTCTGGCAGCGTCTGCCTGGCCCCAGCCCTGCACCCCGAGAAGAGCGAGGGAGACAATGCTGCCCGGGGCATCGGGCTGGAGCTCACGGAGCCGCGTGGGCGCGAACTCCTCCCGGGTCCGCCCTGGAGCGCTCTAGTCTGGGCGCGCTGCTTCCCAGACGGCCAGCCGCTCTAGCCCCCGCGTCCCTCCCCTCTGCTGGGTCTCCGCCCGCGGCAGCTCGCCGCCCCTCGCAGAGCGCAGGTTCAGCTTGGCCTTTGCTCCGGGTTTGGGGAGAGGCCAGGGGAGGGGCCGCGGCGGGAACGGGGGGGGGGGAGACGGCCTGTGATTGGTCGGGAGGGGGCGGAGCGCGGAGTTTCCCACAATGCCCGGCGCGGTGTGGCCGCGGATGGATGCTGCAGGAAGGCGCTGCCATCGCGGACCAGCCCGCGCTCCCGGCCGCCTGTGCCTCGCCCCGGCTCCCCGCGTGGCCGCCCGGGCTCGCTCGCCATGAACACCAGCTCCGCGGCGGCGGGGGAGGACCCAGGCGCGACGGGCGGCGCCGGGAGCTGCTGCCTGGGCGCCGAGGGCGGCGTGGACCCGCGGGGCGCAGGGGCAGCGGCGGGGGCGGCCGCCCTGGAGGAGCCCGCGGCCGCCGGCCCGAGGGAGAAGGACGAGGCGCTGGAGGAGAAGCTGAGGAACTTAACTTTCCGGAAGCAGGTCTCTTACAGGTAGGCGCGGAAGCTAGGTGCGGAGACAGGTGCCACCCAGGGCGGGGACCCGCTGTCTCTCCAAGAGGTGCTTGCTAGAGTTGGGTACCTCCCCGAGGCTGCCCGTTCCTCTCTCTCTCTCCTCTTTTTGTCTCACTGTCCCTGTCTCCCTCTCTTTCCTTCCTTCTGTGTTGTTCTCTCACCCCATCCATCTGGAGTGGAAGAAGGCTACACGTCCCTGGATCCCCTCTGAACACCTAAGGGTGGATGGATTTGTAACAGTAGAGGAGACTGGCTCCCTGAGTGAGAAAATAGCAAAAATGCGTATGTATATGGCAAGGAAAACAGACCTAAAGATGTCTAATTTTCTTGAGAAAAGTCGTCAAAGTTGCCCCTTTTATTTTAGCCACTCCCCCTACCTTTCCCATTTTACTGTGTGAACCTTTAGCACCAACTTAATACCTCCGATCACTCTGAGAGGCAGGAAAGAACAGCTTATCCTGGAGCAAAATCCCTGTGGAGGCTGGACCTGCATGGAAATCCCCCATTAAGGAAGAGTTGGACATGGCCCTGCCTGTAAATACGCCACTGGGTGTTCAGGTTACACACACGTGCTCTCTCCTGCTCTCTCCGGTGTTCTCAGAGGATGATGTGGGGTGCCTGCTCATGATCAGGGGTGAGGGTGGGAAAGGACCATACTTGCACCTGAGGATGGATATATTTGTGAGACAAGGACAATGTGAGGTAAATGGCCACCAAGTTAGGATAAAAGATAATCCTAGATCATATCAGGATCCAAATATGAGAAATCCTCAAAATTCAGTAGGTTCCCTGTGTCCTACCCCCATCCTCAGGCAACAAGAAAGATGCCGAGAGTCGCCTTCCTGGTTGTTAATTTAAAAACTTCAGGTGATAAGCAAGCCTAGGTTTACAAAGATTTTCACTCACTGGAGCTCCGAGTGTTGCTTGAAAGGTGGGTCAGTGAAAGCATTCTTGGAACCTTGCTCCTTCTGAGTTAGCAGTCCCTTGAAGAAAGCCATCTAAAGTGTTATGCCTGTCACACCATGTGCTGTTATGTAAGCAAAGGCAGATGACAGAGGCGTGTGGGCTTGTGAGGGTGTGCTGTATTGGTGGGGGCAGGTGTGTGAATCACTGGGATCCCCACAGGCATTGTCTGGACCGGAGGCCCCAGCATGAGCCAGGCCACGAGCTCTGCATCTCAGTGTTGGCTTCTGATTCCTAAATGGTCTTCCTGGCGAGTTGTTTCTTCTTGCATTCCTTTCGAGCATTTTGTTCACTGTTCGATGAGGGAATTTCCCACCTGAGTTGTTCTCTTAGTTACTCATTCAGATCATATCCAAGTGGATCTTTCTTTTTATATTTTCGGTTTCCAAAAATAGGCAGGTGGTAGGGAGTGGGCATCTCCAGGGAGATATGCTAGGACACAGGCAGTTCTACTTCCTAGTTGCGATGGGCTGGCCCTTAGGGGAGCAGGAACTACATTCAGCCTAATTGAGGAGCTTTGTCTTGGGGGCTTGGGGGTGGGATGATGTGAGGCACATCGTTGAGTCTGGGCTCCTGGGTTTCTGAGTGAAGAGGCTCTTGTGTCTTTGGTATTCATCAGATTCCTCATTGGGTAGGGATGCAAAGCCAAAGTTTGCAAGGGAAATCATTTCAGTTTGTCCCTTGGCAGGGGTCATCCTCTGAGCCTCTCTCCTGGAAATGTGTATTGTGTGGGGCTGTGGCTTTCTGGGTTATGTGCTTTCACAGGCATGTGTGAGTGCGTACACACCTAGAGAGGGTCACTGGCAGTGTTTTTCTAGAGAAGAAGAAAGAATACTACATCCACCTTAAAATCCATAAGGGTGAATTCTGCTTCTTGGATATCATTTCCTTCTATGTAAACTCTCACAGTCCCTGATTCAGTAAAACACCTACATCCACATCCTCTCAGGTGGTGGTTAAGGTACCTGCTACCTCAGACTTACAGGCATCAAATTCTCAGTGGGTGGGAGTTTTTATCAGGCTCCTCAGGTGATGCTTAAACACACTAATGTCAAAGGATTGTGTCCTATTTTCCCCTAGAGGATAAATAATGGATCTTTGAGCTCATAAACCCCTTTCCAGGCAAACTGGGCCAGGCAATTCCAAAGACGGGAGGAGGTGGGAGATTTTGTCTGGCACATGTTTGTCCCAGTAACCTCTGTGTTTTCACCCCTGTATTTATTTGTTTATGTTTTGGTGAATGGCCTGCCTGCCTGCCATGGTGGCTGTTTGCACTCGACTCAGTGGGATGCAGCCAGACATGGCAGTCATGCTGGGGACTCAGGACAGATCTTAAGGAAAGAGCAACTTGGGCTGAAGTTGAGTGTTGGCTACTCAGTGGAGACCACACCGCCTCGCTTCTGGGGCAGCTGAGGACAGAGGCTGGTGGGAGTTAATGGCACTGAGTCAGGAAGGCCTGTGTAGACAGAATGGTCTATACAGAAGTGTTCAGCTAGAGTAGGAGGTACGGCTGCTTGTGTAAAGGGGATCATCTGAGGTGGGAATGGAGATTTGAAGGTAGTTAAAAAATATCTTTGGAAGATCATGGATATTTGCAGAATGAAATTTGATGGGGAAGAAGAAGGGGGCTTTGGGAGAAAGGGAGTGTGTGTGTGTGTGTGTATGCAGGGGGGTCTTATCTGCTCCTCCTGTTGCTAAGGAACATATAAGCTAGGGTTTAAAAATAAATGAAGAGTGGGTGGGCATATGCAGTGACTCCTGTCTTTTTAGGAACCAGTGCCCTTTACAGAAAGCCTTTAAATAACCATTTCTGGAGGCAGATTATTCATTTTGCTTAACTTTTACTTTATTAAGTAAAATAAACTCCCTTATATACCCCTAGGTTTCCCCTCATTATCTTTCCTTTGTTGGCTTTTTTGGGAGCCATTTTCCCAAGAGAAATTTTCCTTTATTTCAGAATCTGCACCCCTAGAGCAAATAGGCTCTGTAGATTATAAAGCTGAAGGCTTTAGAAGGCAGTGCAAGTGAGCTGGTACTTTTCTCCTAAAATTACTACTTCTTTTTTCTTTGAAAATTATGGTGCAGCAACAGATACGTATGTATAAATGACTATATAATGTGTAGAAACTTTTTTAAAAACTGCTATAGGAATTCCCATTATGTCTGTGAAATTGAAGAAAAGACCTTTCAGAAACACACAGGAGAAGGGAAAAAGGAGCTAGTTGATGTTTCTCGTCTTCCATGTGTGGGCACTGTGCTAAGTATTATTGTATATCCCATCTTATTTGATCTTTGTGATAGCCCTGTGATGTCATTATGATTAGTCCTGTTTGATAGAAAATGAACCTGAGGCAGAGACCTTGGGCAGGGCACAGAATTTAAACACACATCTGACCCTAATGGGCTTTCTCTTCAGATCACAATGTGCTGCTTCCTCCTTTATTTTAGGTTCTGATTCTCCCCACTTGCACCTGTGTGTGTGTGCAGTGTGAGCCATTCTTTCACTTTATTCACATGGTACCATGGCTCATTATCATCTATATGATCTCTTGTATACTTCATTCTTTGGACTGCAGCCCTTTGGTTATATGACTTTAGGGAAGAAAAGTGAATATAAGTCCATGATCATCAGCAAATAGATTGGTTTTGCTTCTGAGAACAAAACCACCTGTGATACCTGACATCTCTGTGAAGACGACTGTTTTAGAGATTTATGTGCCCTTAAGAATTTTCTACAGGTGTTGTTTAGGGGAACCTAGCTCCAGTGAAGAGCTGCTTCGTGTGTTTATTCTCCAGCAGCTCACAGTGACTGGTGAAGTATGATTTTGCCTGTAAGGAGGCCTGTGTAGTAACCATTTGATGTGAGATATTGACGTTCCTGCTTCACTTTTTCCACTTACAAACTGGGATGGTAATTCCTAATCTTTTTATTTATTTATTCTTTTGAGACAGCATCTCACTATGTAATTCAGGCCTTGAACTCACTATGTAGAACTCTCAGTGATTCCCCTGCCTCAGCCTCCTGAGTGCTGAGATTGCAGGCATGCACCACTGCTCATGGCTTTGATCTTTCCTAAAGGACATTTTTGGTATTACACAGAAATAATAGTAAGGAATATTAAACTTCTTAGATTAGCCACCTGGCTAGAAAAGGGTCTTTAATTCTTTGTAAATTGATGATTAGAAAGTAGTGCAGTCATCCCTCCGTGTCCAGGAGAGATGGGTCCAGAACACCCTGCAGCTATCAAAATCTGCTGATGTTCAAGTCTTTTATACAAATGGTGTAGTGTTTGCATATAACATAAGCACATCCTCCCTCAAGCTTTAAGTCATCCCTAGATTACTTATATTTCCTGATACTATGTAAATGCCATGAGAACTGGACACAGTGGCGCATGCCTGTAATCCCAGCACTGGAGAGGCTGTGGCAGGAGGATCACAGGCCAGCTTGTGCTACATAGTGAGTTCAAGTCCAGTGTATTTTTTTCCTGAATATACAGCATCCATCTTTGTAAATCAATTTTATTTTGTTTTTATCTATGCTTCACACGTTCATTAGATAGTTAGAGACTTCAGGATCAGACAACAAATTTGGTTTTAATTTAAAGCTTCCTTCCTCAATAATTACTTAGGTACAAAGTGTCCACTCCCTCAGTTAGGACACCCGGGCTACGATTTTAACTTCATCACTGTCCAAACTCTGCTCTGGTCTGGTCCTGTCGAGACTTGGGTTTTGCACGGGAGTCAGAGCCCTGGACCTCATGATGAAGAAGTGAAGAGACCTTTGTTGGCATTCAGTTCTGTTGTGACAACAACAGCATTGCCTCATGGGGCCAAATTAAATTAAACTAGAACTGGCTCTTTCCAACATTTCCCTTTCTAGTCTGGGAAAATGAGGACTCCCAGTGAGAGTCAACCTGGCTGCCCCTCTCTGTTCTTCTGGGCTGGGATCTGGGATACACATGTCCTATAACTCCCCAAAGTATGCTTGGAGCTTTGTACATTGAGAGACCAGG